TCTATAATTAGTATAGTCTGTATAGCTACCTTTTTGTGATTGGACGTATAATACTTTATTTTGATTGCTCTGGATAAGTTCCTTGCTCAATACACATATTAATAAATTTGGCTAGTAAAGGACAGATTTTCTGTTTTATATATTTTAAGTCTTGTGCTCTTATTTTATCTACCCCAGGTGCCTTATGGCAATCTATGTCTCTAATGATTCTTTCCACTTATACTGCATTCACTTTTCTGTATCTAAATGTGACGTTAATTTCTTTTACATATGTTTTTCTGTCCATAAATTTTATGTTACAATAATGTTTAATTTCTAATATTTCCTTTGTAATAGTTGTCGTAAAGTTACTACAAATATTGGAAATACTGTCTTATTTTCCTAGGTGCTTAATTATTACATTATCTAAACTTGGCTGTACCTGTCCAGTCCATTCATTAATATGCGCCCATACTTTCCTATAATCACCATTACAATTAGTTATTTTACTCCTTCCGTACTTATTTTTTGCATAAAAAATTAACTTTAAATCAATTTACCTTATTTCTATACCGCGTATAATCTAACCGCCTCATACCAAATAAAAACTTTTTATTTGGTCTGAGCTAACCGCTTATTCATGTTTTTAGGAGATGCTTTCCATATACGAAACAATTTATCCCTCTTTTCAATCATTTTTAAGAAATTAATATCAACCCACGGTTGTTTAAATAGATTTTTCTTACCTAACACTTGTAACTTTTGACTATTTTCGTATACACTCTTGAACACATTTAGTCCAGGAATTTTAGCACCAAAAATCGGTCCGCTCTGCATAAAATCCTTCTACGTGATTTTTTGATTGGATTATATCAGAGGGTGCCCCCTAAGTATAAAACCGAGTTTCTGTCGCCCGAAACCGCGAGCGTTAGCTGCCATCTTGGAAACCGTTTTTTTGCATATATCTCGGAAACGGTAAGTTTTACGTTAAAAACCGAAGAGATCTTTTTTGTAGAGAACAAAATTTCCCATCTTTTTTATACCAAACTTTTCCCCCTATTGTTGATATTTTCCGATATATTGAAGTAAAAAAACCAAATTTTTTGTTTTTGTAAAGTATCTCAATAATTTTCAGAGTTACGAAAAAATGTTTGAATTAAAGTTGGAGAGCATGAAATTTTCTACAAATTTTGTATAAAACTTTTTCTTGTAAAATGATTAGTTGCTGAGTTCCAGCTGAATAAAAATTGTCACCTGGAATCGAAAATCAGCGATGAGCTGTAATACGTTACTCTGGCATGCAAACAAAAAAGTATAATCGAAAAATTTTATCATGAAGACGGTAACGATTTTATTTATCGTGAAAAAGAGGGAAATGAAAGATTAAAAAGGAAATTTTGCACAATAAAAATATTTTAACGAATTATTGGAAAAAGGAATGAAAATTTATTCATGTATCCAAATTCATTATCATTTGCGCGATATAAGTCGCTGTTTACAAATCAGGATCGCAGAATATTAATTTAATAAATTGTATTTGATAAATTATATTCGTCGATGTTAGATTTATAAAATTTTTCGCTGTTTACAACCGGAAGGGCGATTTTGGAAGGTTTGCGAATTTTCTTCTTCCAAGTCCATGTTACCTGCATCAGAAGAATGTATGAGAGATTCATTCGGTGTATCCTCCTCGTCGCTGTCGTCCGCGGCCGGAGTTGAGTTATGATTGTATCAGTCTTTGCACACCTTTTTCTTTCACCACTTGTACGTCTTTATCACTTCTCAATTTCTCACATATAAAACACGTACTCATTTTAACGGCGTTCCGACTTAAATTACTTACCTTCTGTAAAACAATACTTTACGCGGAGACATCGAATTTACTTATACTTTTTGTTTGCATGCGAGAGTAACGTATTGCCACTTACCGCTGATTTTCATGATCTTTTATTGCGCTAGAACTCAGCAACTAATCATTTTGCAAGAAAAAGTTTTATACAAAATTTGTAGAAAATTTCGTGCTCTCCAACTTTAATTCAAACATTTTTTTCGTATCTCCAAAAATTATTGAGTTACTTTACAAAAACAAAAAATTTGGTTTTTTTACTTCAATATATCGGAAAATATCAACAATAGGGGGAAAAGTTTGGTATAAAAAAGATGGGAAATTTTGTTCTCTATAAAAAAGATCTCTTCGGTTTTTAACGTAAAACTTACCGTTTCCGAGATATATGCAAAAAAACGGTTTCCAATATGGCGGCTAACGCTCGCAGTTTCGGGCGACAGAAACTCGGTTTTATACTTGGGGGGGCACCCTCCGACATAATCCAATCGAAAAATAACGTAGAAGGATTTTATGCAGAGCGGATATCTAAAAATCTTGGACAAATTGCATATATGATCATATAACACTAAGGGGCAGTTTAATCCGTTAAGTTTATTCTAGTCATACAATACTAAACCATCATTAACTTGTCGTTGAGACAATGAGAAACGCAATTGACCAAACACACTCACTTGATCTTTTTTGTATTATATTATGTCACTCATACCTGTGCTTACACAAATACCAACTATGTGATGATCCGATATGAAGCATTCAATAATGTACGCAGCGACGCTCACGCAGTACCCGCGAGTCTGTCTCGTTCGCACCCATACATGATCCAAGCAGGACATCTCACGGCACCCGTTCACTACCGCTTCCCGCGTTACCTCTGTGTGCGGTATAACGTTCTGCAGGCCGCATACACACAAACTGTTTTTATATTTGTTTATGGTGGGATTTATTTTATTTCCCAATACGTCTAAGTTTATATCTCCGATGATCAATACGGTGTCTGTATATTGAAAACCTCTCATAAGAATCTCAATTTCTCTGATCAATTGTAATTTGTTCTTATTGGGTGGCCGATATATAGCAACAATATGCGTCCATGCTTTCTCTGAAGTTAATATTCCATGTACAACTTCTGCCGACCCAATATTTATTATTTCCATAGTAGTGCTCAAGATTTTTCTTGTATAAATTATCAAACCTCCACCTCTTCTTTCTTCTCTAGTATGAGAATAAATATCATATCCTTTTATATTATATATATCATTACTTCCTGTTGTTTTATATTTATTTCTAACAAAAATATAATATCTATTTGCCTCTTTGATTGACTTAGTAGAACCATAAATTCATTGAAGTTTTTTCTCATAGATCTTATATTTAAATGTATCATATATATATATATATATATATATATATATATATATATATATATATATATATATACTAGCTGACCCAGCGAACTTCGTACCGCCCTAAAAAAATAGGGGTTGTCCAGCGGACAAAATTGTGAATCTAAACCATTCTCAGATCCCCTTGAACACACACAAAAAATTTCATCAAAATCGGTCCAGTCGTTTAAGAGAAGTTCAGTGACATACACACTCACAGAAGAATTATATATATAAAGATGATTACTGATGGATATATATATATATATATCTAATTACAAAAACTTATACCAATTTTATGGGGAATGGATATATATATATATATATATATATCCTCCGGATATATATATATATATATCCATTGGTAAAAGTTTTTGTACCTTTTAAATGGTATTTCTGATTCTATATCTGTTTTATTCATTAAATACAAGTTAAAATACTATAGTAAATATAAACATTTGTCAAAGTTTGACACACTTTACTATATATTCGGAGTGACATTGGCTATCTATTATTGAAAAAAAAAATATAAGGCTGGCATATACAATTTTGAATAAAAAGTTCTGCTAGGTACTACTTTTAACGACTACGCTTTCGATGGCGAGTTCTGTCACGCCGTGCCTTGTCTCGTGGTGTGAGTGAAATTGCTTACAACGATAGTGTTACAACTAAAACCAATATAAATTGTTAGAATCTTATTGAGAAACAGTAAACGGGATTTTGAGTATTTCTGCCTGTAATATATTGAAAGTCCCCCCGTTCCCTCCTGGAGGGGGTAGGAATCCTCCTGGATTACCGAAGGCTCAGGGGCCTTATCAAGATATAAATAGTAAAAATGCCACATTGGTCATCACAGACATAGGCTATACCCAAACGATTTGCTATGCTAATGTTCTTACTAACAGCTCACTGTAATGATTAGTATTATTCCAATAGAACACTCTTAAGACTTAAGCTACTGTCTTTAACAGAGTTCATTTATAAAGGGAAAAATCAATTAGACACGAAACAGGCGGTCCCCTCCGCTCTGAGAGAAAGGCTATTAATTAAGCTGCAAATATTTTTTTTAATTACTGCTCAAAGGGTGAAAATGTCCCATCATTGTAAATGATAAAACTGTTCACGTTTTACACTCGACTGAATTTCCTTTTGTGTAATAGAATGGAATTATCTTAAATAAAAAAAGATTGTTAACTTGCCTAATTCATATTTAGTAATCAGAAAAATATAGGAAGCGAAAACTGATAACTTACCGTGCAGGTAGTGAAGACCTTTTAACACCCAAGGCAATTTATAGGACACTTACGGCAACAAATAATTTAATAAGCTGTGTATACACAAGTAAGTTATTAACAACAACAACAACAACAAAAATAAAAATTAATACTGGTCTTTTCCATATTTACATTTGAAAAATATGTAGTAGATTGCATACTGAATCTGACTCTGCTCTCTATAACTAATTTATACATACGTTTCATACTCATTCGCATAACATCAAAAGGATACTTCATAAATAATCGGGACACAAAAAGATGTCTGTAGGCAACCTCAGCGTCATTTCAGGTTGTAGGACTTTACGCCCTATCCCTCCAACACATGAACCTTTTTTGTATACACGCTTCTACATATATATTATGGTTAAGGGACAGTGCTTGGCACCAGGGAAGGTCTTTGCTAAGGGAAAATTTGTCGCGTAACACTTATGAGACTTATGATGGGCGGCACATATTCCGTGCAAATAAAAATTGGTAAATATAAAAACCCTTTTCAAACTTTTCGAAACTCTTCAGATGAGACCCCATTTCAGTAGGAAAGGTTATTTATTTTTTTGGTCGTTCCTTGAATATTATATTAACTTTGTATATTTAGGGTTTCCATTTACCATATTGGTAGAAGACATTTAAGTCGAAATAACGATGAAATTGTCATGTGATATTATCCTTTGATTGTAATTATGGTTACTTTCATATATTTTCCTATTGATTTTTAAAAGACAAAAGGTCGAGAGGTATTCCTTATTTCTGCAGTATAATCAATTTATAGGAAACTACAAATTAACTCGTTTAACTAATTACCACCTATCATGATTTTTAAAGTTTACGTCACTTTAAAAATAATGAACACGTCATAGGATACGGAAATCCGTATTATTTTCTTATCACTTTCCTATCAAGAAAGTGATATCAATTAGCTCTAATCAAACTAAGAAGTACAGTGACGGCATACCATGACTACATTCACCTTCATATCCACTACATTTCGATAAACTATAAAATGCCAAATTCTTACTTCTTTGAATTAAATTAAAACAGCTATATTGAAAAGCGTAGATACAGTTGAATATAATAATGTAATTTAACACTAAATCTACCTCAGTTCCTGAATATGTTATCGCGTAAACATTTGATGGATCAAATCGCAAAAGCATGATAGCGTGCTCATAGCTTATAAAGCTTGGCTTGAAAATGATGAGTGAATAAAAAATGTAGACTAGAATTCCCGAAATACCCAGCAAAAGTAGAGACCGTCGTCTCATAATAATAAAGTTTACAGCAGTTAAGTCAAAATTCCATAAATGTTCTATAAAAATAAAAATCATACTACGTTCTGATGTATTCATCGGCGGCGTTAATACAAAATCATTAATTAAATGCTATATTTATTTAAACGTGTGACGTTACTTTGTGGGTAATTAATTTTGTAACTGAAATTTTAAAAAGTGTTAAATAATTATTTTTGTCTAATAAATTACAATACGGACTATCATTTATTGAAGGCATTGATCACATTCCAAAACATTTTTTATAGAATTTGTTCACGCAAAGCCAAGTTTAAAGATCATAGTATTATTTTTAGTACTAATTTTTCAATAGCCAATGTAAAGTTATCGATTAATGACGTCACATTTGAATGACGCACTCCTTATATAAGCAGCTGTAGACCACTAACTTCTTTATCTCGATTGTTCCAAAGAAGGTCAATAATAAGTCCATAATATTAATTGGACGTTCTTTTCAGAAGGCGCAGAAGGGGGAGGGGGGGCGGCGGGCGCGCAAGTTGAGGAGGAGGATGACGATGACACCTGTTGGCAGCTCTGCATCGAAAAGTTTCCACCACCTCTGCGCGCCCTCTGCGAATCACACAGATTTGAAAACTTACATGTAAGTACACCAGGTAGCAAGGACGGGACGCAAAAACGTAGGCCTGATCAAATGACCCCTTCATGGTAGTGGTAAAGATTATATCCGGGTAGCCCAATAACCGATTTGTGTCTGCAAAACGGTAATTTTTGATTGATTGACTATACTGACGCAGCATGGACGAGAGCTTGTGATCTAAAGTAGCGAACATTGTATACATACGAAACATCTAATGTATTTTCTTCATAATCTTTATTAAATGTGTTGTTTTCGTTAATGATTTTTTCAAATTGACACCTTTCATTTAACGTTTGGGTCACACTAACGGAAAATGCTATTAATTAGCGCGATGATGAAAGTTTAAAGTACAGTACGCGCACGATCTGAGCGCAGCTCTGAGGAATGCACTAGTGCTCGGAAACACAGTTCGAGTTAATACACTGCAGGCGTGCAAAGTGGCGGAGTGTAAACCCCCAACCTTATACCCCGACTTCACTCATATCACGCTCGTACTAAACCTTAACCCCCTTATTCATAAACGAGTAATAGGCTTAGACTAGTTACTCTGTGTTTTGTTCATACCACTCAATGGACAGAGACAAACCATGGAGTAACTAATCCAAGCTTGTTCTGCGTTTATTAATAAGGGAGTCAACGTCCATCGCGATAATTAACAGCATTTTCCGCTTGTGTAGCCCCAGCAAAAGTGATATTTTTCACTTGCTTAGCTGCATTTCCACTTAAGCTCAGAATAGTTCTTAACGACCAAACATTGTTCGCTCGGTAAATGGAAAGCTCAGAGCAAGTGTTCCATTGATGGTGAAGCAAAAGAGCATTCATTCACTGAGTCCAGTCCAACATTGTTGAACGAGCTGGTAAGTTCGCTGTGATGTTTCTATTTACTGAGCGAGCAAATGTTTGCTCGTTCCGAACGCTTCTTATCTTGAGTGGAAACAACATTATACAGATTTGTCAAATTAGACAATTATGTTCATTTGATGTTTCACGTAAAATGTCGCTATTATTTTAAAGATTTGTGAACGAACGTAGTACGAACAATATATTAGCAATCTCGCAATTTCAGACCTGTGCACAGCGATGCGTAGTCACTGACTAAAGAAGACCAAGCAGTTTGTTAAATTTCGCTCTTATTTGCCAGAATTAACGAGTGAGTGGAGTTGTTGGCAGTTCTGAATCTAAAAATTCACTCCACCAGATCAATTATCTACGATTCGCACTGATTTTAGTACATCGGGCAGTTTTATTCACTCGGGCTGACATTCATGTTTACAATGACAGCTTTGTTCGAGAAAATCTATGCTCCACTTTCCGGTTTCTGTGAGTTACAGAGATTTGAGAACCTAAGGGGCTTTATTCATGAAGCGATGCAATGCGAGCGATATCGAGTTGATTGTCGATTTAAATTGCATGTACGTCCTCAACGAGCAATGTAATGCAATTCTTCTTTTGATGTGAAAACTTCTTTAAGCGTCGTTGTACACTTTTTTTGTAATGGGTAAAAATTGTTAAACTCGCGTCAGAACACGGGGCCTGATCGCGTTAGGACATGTAGCCTAATTGCGTCAGGACACGTGACCTGATCACGTCCGGACACGTGGCCAAATCGAAAATTCGTAAGACGAAAACAATAAAATTGGAAAGGTTTTTGACTTTCAATATATTGGACGAAACATAGTTATATTTTATTTTATCGTATTATAATAATAAGTCTCGTATTAGGACGTCCAGGTGGCAGCTTTATTGCGAAGAAAATGCATTTTTTTTACAATAGATATCGCTCAGTGCGCTTAAATGTGATTCATGCAATTTGATTTGTCTGAGAGATAAACTTTTAATATAAATTGTCATGTTTGTGTACGATATATCGCAATAAATAAATATTGTATTCTACCACATAAATCATAGTGCTTGTATACTGATAATTAAATCAATTCGTGCAAATGCTAAGATAGCTAGTACAGCAGTAATAAATAGCTGGCCTGCAAAAATGCTTCTTCACGCCTCTCTTTAAGGCCCCTGATTGTAGGAAGGAGACTACACGTGCGCGGGCAAAGAATTCAAGTAGGACAAAGAAATGAGTCACCAAATTTCTTTGTTCGTGTGGAAATAGTGGCCACAGTAAGTCAGTGACATGGTACGCGAGCGCGCGTGGTCCTCTGAAGAAATGGTGATGATGAGGGATAAGGGAGAATAACTCCTCAGAACACTCGCCGTGGTATAGTCGGTAGAATACGCTTAATGATGCTACATCGCTGCGTAATTGTAGAGACTCGAGTTTATTAGTTACCTTTTCATCTCCAATGATGCGGGCAGCGCGCCGCTACAATCTATCCAAGGCATCGAGTAAGTACTTAGCGGAGCCATCCCACAAGTGCGAGCAATATTCCTCGCAGGACCGCACTTGCGTTTTGTACAACAATGATTTGCGTCGCCTCGCCCATCTCTAATATTTTATTCATAATCATGTCCGAGTGTCGAGGACGTCCTTATTTTTTACGTTTTGTAGTGTTATTTTACTATGATCTTCTGTAAGGTAGAGATTTCTTCCCCAGACGGCCGATCCAAATCAAGCGGAAATATTTTGTGTCACGGGAAAAGACATAAGGTAGTTTGTTTTTTAAACCCACAAAGGGTAAAATAAACATTGGGTTTGGGTGCAATTTGTATGTGAAACCAATATTTCCATACAGACGAAGTCGCGGGAATCAACTATATTATATTACATAATCTATGCCAATTTTGTTGCGTGGCTTCAGTAATATTGTGGCATGTTATGATTATACAGACAATAATGTTTTTTAATTCCCTGTACAAAATTTAAAGCTCAATAATTATCCAGTTCAGTACAGAAATAATTCATCATCATTATCAGCCTATTTTAATGTCCCCACGGCAATGGCACATTCCCTATGGATGGAATAGGGAGATTATGGAATAGAGACCAGTGCTTATTAGTGTGTGCTAGTGACTGCATATGTAGCCGGGACACACGGAGGAGCTCGAGATAATTAGTTTTCGGGTCACCAAGCTAATGACTGACCATTGTGAGAGTTGCTTAACCTCCACAATTGCTGGCAGAACGTGCTAACCACCTGCACTATCGAGCTCCTCGCGCTATAGAGCTCCTGCTCCTGACCTCCTTTGAACAAAAAAAAAGAATATCTAGCACGGAGATTTGCTATGCGGAACTGAAGTCGTTAATCGATTTACCGTAAAAAAGGTTGTAACGTGTTTGAGTAGTTACACTCTCCCATGCATTTCTAATAAAATCGCCGGTCATAATGACGTACACGCTATTCGAAACCTAAGCGATTTGTGAGCGATAGCGTCCTACCGTACGATTTGGTCAGTAAGCATAAGCGACCTATCAATACATTTTCTTAGGTCGCACATACATGTGATATCTCACCGATATCGGCAATCGATGCAATTCTGCAGCGCGTCGCGTCATGAGTAAACACGCTAAATGTAAGTACGTCAGCGATTTGTTGTTAGACTCGCATTTACTGCAGATGTTATAGTAATACCTGTTGCCGGTTCAGAAATTCCTTCTGTGACTATTATGTGTCCTCTGCGAGTCGCACAGATTTGAACACTGAAATGTAAGTGTTCTACGTCAGGCAGTTAGTTTGTTTAGGCTAGAGTTCATGTTACTCTGCCGACCCAACATTGAGGGCGCTTACTCAAATATGTACAGCAGGCTCTTAACTTTGCTTTAATTAAATGACGCCGTGGGAAGCGACGGGCTCGCTTTGCGGAAGCGCTTACTTTGATCCAGTAATAGCTTTTGATGCGTAGTTGTTGCTGGTTTTGATTCGAAACAACTAATGTGTTTTAGATTTTACGATACAAAAAGCGATTATTACTATAGTAAAAATTGAAGTATCTTGACATTACCTAGCTATTAATAATATTGTGAATAGTGCATACATGATAAGACTGTTGATGCATGCACTTAGTACCACAAAATTAGTTTTTGGATATTTACAAGACGTTTATTAATTTTATGTACTTACAATGATTAACTCTTCTTAATTCTTCCTACAGTATTCTACTTGTCTCTCTATTGGATTTTCTTAGATAGGCATTGCTTGATCCATACCAGCTTACTTTTCAATACATCCTCAATAAAACCCAATTACTGCATGCAGGGCCATCCTCTTTTGATCATAACCGCGGATCACACTTACAGCATAGTAATACATCTGAACATCTGTCCATCAGTGCGGGCCAAGTATGAAAAATGGTATTACTTACTATTATTTGATTTATCAACAGCGAGGATGGCTGGTGTGGAAGGTTAAAATGCTGCGGCAGCTATCTTCATACCTGGACACCACCGTTGCTTAACGTCAGGTGGGGGGAGTAATTATGACTTAAATTCATTAACACTATCTTTTCTGCATATTGAGACGTTCTTTCCTATCTTCCTGGATAAAAATGTTACTATGTCTGTATAGTATCACTCTATTATGACATTTAACTTTATTTATGATAATAAACCGTAGCTCAGACCAATATGGCCACTTTAACTTTACTACCTATTGCATGCTTGAGATGGTAGCAGTGCTGTTAAGTAGATATTGGAGAAGAAACTAACCATTAATGTAAATGAATAAAATTATTTTCGACGATTGGCCGTAAAGTACTTTAGGTTTATAAAACGTCAATTCTACGTATCTAGATCTACGTCAGGTGCTGTTGAGATAATGCTAAAATCATGATAGAGATTGAGAGATACCCAAGAAAAAAGTTATTTTTACCTGGGAGGTATTTTTGTACCAAACTGGAAATAAGTTTGAACATCTTTCTGTCACAGCAATAAGTGAACATCATAACTCAAATAAAATCTTATAATGGAATAGTACAAGATCCCAAGATTGTAAGGCCTTACTTATTTTCTTATGGACGAAATATGGATAATCGACTAATATTATTGTGTACAATGGACGTATGCATACTCGCAAACTTGTGCTGTGGGCCAATTTCTTGCTTTCAGCCGGTACAGGCACGTAAAAATTTTACTCACCTAACTTACAGTCTGAGGACTGACTCCTACGCATGTTGTAGAGAATTTTGTGAACAATATGAAATTCTTACTACCAGACACATTGTGTCAGCAGCTTTTACTGCCAGACACTTTTAATGTCGAAAGAAAAAACACAAAACTTGCTTATTTTCTGCAATTATTTTGAAAATTAGATAATAAGGAACATTTAAGTTATTGTGAAAGACTTCTTGAACACTATTTATAAAATAACTTACCTATATGAAGCTGTATTAAAAAGGCACTTCATTACCAGGAGCGTGCCTGTTATCACAGTCGCAGTTTAAATAAGCTTAGGAAATGTTTGGCCCCTAAGGATTGGTCTGATAGTTTACAAATTATAATAATAGACAAAGAATTAATATAAAATATTATAGAAGTCCCAGACTGTAAGTTTGTGTATTTTTCTTTTGGAATTTAAAGTGTGTGGCGAAAAATACTGCGGATGTCTGATGTCTGACAGTATTAATTTCAAATTGTTTAAAATATTCTCTATAACATCAGAATCAGGCCCTACAAGTAAAGTGAGTAAAATTGTAACGTGCCTGCACCACTTGATACCTGAAAATTGGCCCACAGCACATGTTAGCGAGTATGTATACGTTCATTGTACACACTAATACTACTCGATTATCCATATTTTGTCCATGAGAAAATTAGTAAGGTCTGGCAGTCTTGGGATCTAACTCTAGAACGTATTATACTAAATTACCGTACGTTTATTATATTAACGTACCCATGGTTAAAACAACGCATTCCTACATTTGTAAATTAACAAACCTCATGATGAACCACAACATCTGGATGATAAGAATTCAAAGCTTATTCCATAAAATGGTATGATATCTTTGTCAAAAAAGTTGAGGAATTTTAAATAGATTTTTGTTTCAACAAAAGCGTATTTATATGTATACAGGGTGGTCCAACTAGTGACGTCAACATTTTTTTTAGATTCCTCGCACCTGGTTGTATCTGAAAATACCCCATGTATGTTCCGCGATTTTTCTTTGTTTGAGTAAATCCTACTAAAAACTAAAGTTCCAACTTTCAAGCCTTTTTGAGTAACTTTAAGTATTTTCAGGAAGCTGAGTTATTTTTTTTTATTAAAACAACATTCAAGACAATTGTGTCACAAAAATACCTACTACGAAAAAAATATGAATTTTTGAAACTTCGCTGGCAGAAATCATTAAAAATACACAAAAAAAATATAATTCGAAAACTAAGAAAAATCGCGGAACATACATGGGGTATTTTCGGATATCCCCAGGTGCGAGGAATCTAAAAAAAAATTTTGACGTCACTAGTTGGACCAACCTGTATATGCCGTGAGCTTAGGCAACTTAAACCTGACATGAACCAAATGTAATTACTAAATACAAATTAGATATTTAATAAAGCATGCATGGATTTATTAGATTTTGATCGAATTTACAGTTCCGACGCTTAATCCAATAGTGGCGAACTTCGATTTACAATTATTGGGGTATTACCCACCACTAAGGTTCATTTACGACGACTATATGTATGACCGATTATATAAATTTGTTAGGTTGAGAGCCAATAACCAGTAATAATTTCCTACTATAAGTAATACTTTTACGTGTATTTAATTTTTTTCCAACTCTGCAGCGTGAAGATTACTAACATTTCAGTATTCTACGATAATACGGAAAATGTCATCAGTGAACAAAGCTTGCATTTGTAAAGTATTGCTAAATAAATTTAGTGACGTAAGTTCTAATTTACCTTAAATGAATTCAGAACACGAAAGTGTGAGCATTTAAAAATAAGGAATGAAATACAGAAAGAACACCGATATCCTGAACGCTATCGATCGTTTCATTTACTTGACCTCTATTCAAGTCACAGGATCTAAAAAGGTCCCTTATTCAATTATTAACAATAGAGTCAGTTACGGTGGAACGTTGCTGTGTTATTGTGAATAATCTTTTTAATAATAGGAGGTATTCTCTTTTGTTCTTCTACAAAAACTGGAACAGGACTTCATTTTATTCTAGATAATTTGTTGTGACAGGTCTTCCCCGAGCTGGAAGATGCAATGATACAATCGACATTTGTAAGTAAAGAGACCAATTTAAGAGCGGACTTCTATATGTGTAGTCATATTAGTTTAATGTTCTTTTTCATTTGTGTTTAGAGATTTATTTATCTTCTTAGGAATGTTATGATCGTACTTCTTTTTTAAATTTAATACTGCCTGCTAAAGCGCATGTTTGTTTATTTAGTTAGTTACTTTGGTAAACGTTTATCTAAGCAATTCACATAGTAATTATAAAACTATATCTATACATATAATAAAATGGTAGGAAAGTCAAAACCGTACATTGAATATTCTTTTAAAAGAATACTTGGGGTGTGATCTACGAAAATATAGTTTTTAGAATTTTTGTCTGTTTGTCTGTATGTATGTCCGGGATAAACCCAAAAAGTACTGCATGGATTTACTTCAAATTTGGCACGAATATTATTAAGAAGTTGAGTCAACATATAGGCTACATATTATCGCGCTATCACCTACGTAGAACGAGCAGTGAACCTTTATGACTAACTAACTCCACGAGTATGAAGTTGCGGGCGACCGCTAGTTTTAATATAAAGTATGAAAGTTGAGCGTCATTTTAATGCGCTTTTCACAGTTATTTTGCTTAACGAATTTCGGCAAAAGCATTTCCAATATTCAGTGCGAATTCAGCTTGTGACTCTACCTCTTTTGTGAGTCAATCAAGTTTACATGGGTATAGATATTTGAACGATCTCAGTGTTGGACAGTTGACTGATTGTATGCCATTTACAAAGGACATGAAGCATGCAATGTTAAATCATATTGGCAATGGACACTGTAGAATATTTCTTGTGACACTGTGATTGATGCGAAAATTTTTAGAAGTACTTCTACAAATAACATAGTAGGTACTTATATTGGTGATATTTGAAAAACTGTCCATAAATTTATTCCTAAAAGTTGAAACTGCTTAAATATCTACTTTTTGGCTTAATTTCTCAACGAGGAAGAGGGTACGCATTTTTTCTTGGAGAACTCTTCCACAATTTCAAGATATCGCGATGAAATTCATAAAGTTTTTAACGATGCCCTTAAATTTTCAAAAAAGCCTTCGATTCGAATTCCGTAGTAACGTATTTTTCGCTTCTTTTTATGTTAGCCGATTTTTTGGTTAATGAGAGTTACTATTTTATGAATATTTTTAATTAATTCAGTATCAACAAAAAAATGTCCAAAAGCTTATAATATCATTTTTTCTTCCACTATACAAACCTGAATGCGAATGAGCGTACTTAACAATTTTACACTTTATGAATTTATATGGATTTGAACATTTAACTTCAACTGCTCCTAAAAGCCATTAATTACTACTAGCAAACCAGTGAACCAAATGTTCACCAAAACCTGATTTAAAAAAAAAAGTATTTAATTAATTGAGAACTTCGGAGATTTTGTGTGGTTTCGTTTGAAATTCGTGATTTCTCGAAAACCGGAAGTGCTACGTTACTCAAATCCGGTTTGTAGTCTTATCAGACTATTCTTAACTTATAACTTAAATATTCTCTTTATCTATCTCTTACGGTTTGTCCGGACGGACGGACTTGTCTAATAGATAAGAGATGTTATATTTTGTGACAGGTTTATTTGTATCGTAAACTCTTTAATAATGTACTTTATTAAGAGTACATTAATCACTACAATAATAAAGAGAATTATAAAATTAATTTATTTGAAAACTTCATTATGAGTGAATAGCTAGAATGGATGAAATTGATGATATGCCGAGAGGTAATAGCACTACATTTTAGTGGTGTTGATTTTTGTTGGTGAAGTTTACAGGACTCTATGGCTATGGCGTGAGTCCGGCTTGAACCCAGCTCTGGGTGATACTGGGTCAGCATATTTTTGTGCCACACCAGCTTTTTAAGCAGCTGGACAATTAATTTTAGTTTAGTCAGAGTAATTTGTTGTACCAAAGATAAAAACATATGTCATAGTGAACTCTGGCACCACTAGAAGTAAATAAGACAATAATTTAGTATTGATTTTGATGAATTTCTATTATTAAAATCTAGACAGATATGTCAAAATTTTAAATTAAATATGCCGGTCACCTGTGCAGGATGTAGACAAGCACTCCCAAAAAGGGAATTTCTGATTTGATCTTTATGTTCCAACGCATACGATTAACAGTGTTCAACTAATTAAAGATAAAGGCGTTGGTTTTAGCCAATGTACACATTAATTTTAGCTACATTCATAATGGATGAATAAGTTATATCGCTTTGTTTTGTTAGTATATAAGTAGGTACCTAAGTTCATGACAAGCTCGAAAAATAGGGTAATAACTACTTATATCATACATAATGCACCGTTTCAAGAATAATTTATGAATTACATTTTAATCTTTTTAAAATAAACGGGTTCTTACTTTTTATCATTTGTTCACTTCCGTAGAATGTACTGCCTATTTTGGCAGTTGCTTTTTTGTTATCTATTTTTATTCCTCCGGGCATAATGGTATTCTAAAATACTACCAGTTTCTAGTTTTCTTAAAGCAAAATTTTATATATTTTTTTAATCTGCAGTGGGTCTGTTTATCAGGGTTCGTTCCACAGTCCAGAAATGTTTAATGCAGTACAAAGTTTCACCCTCCATTGAATCACTTTTCCTAAGAGCCTTTCTGAGCAATATTCTCCTGATGAAAACCTACCTTCGTTTTAAATTTCATCTTCACAAAGCAAATCATTTTTGGGATTTAATGATAAGTTAGTAAAGGAACGAGACTCTTTGACGAATTAAATGTTTTAGAAAACATTTTCTTTAAATTAATTAAATTTCCCTACTATAATGACAGCTTTACGAATATCGGTAGTACATAGTGTTTCAAATTAATAACTGAAAGCCATTGTGAAAGGAGGTTGAATTCTTTTATTTAAACCTTGGAAAGTTTATTACTATGTACCTATATTCCGCGCGGCATCCACTATTCGTAATGAGTGGTTAAAAGATATGGCTACTACGAGTGATACAAGGGTCTTATGTACATGACACCTGACACCCAGGGCAATGTTTAAGCGAAACATTTACATTGATTACTCTTCGAAATCACCGCAAACAGGGAGGAGGTTTTATTAAAAAAACACTTAATATCAAGTGGGGTGGGCCATGCGAAAATAAAAATGAGTTAAGTCGCGAAAACAAAGTGAGCTAAAGCGACAGAAAAAAATACTTAATAAATCTGTAAACAAACATATTATTTTTGATAAATAAAACAGTTTTTACGGGTTAAAAATGTTGTCCCATTCATACTTTTCTTAACGTCCGAGCTGACCAAGAAAGTTGTTTCGACTCGCCAACTGAACGCTCTCACCAAAGCTGTATTAAACTTTTTTACTTGCCACAAATTAAAAGGTTGATAATAAATATTGCTGCGATAAAGCAATTTATAAAAATCTGCAAAATACGCCATAAATCTACTTTGCTCATCAAATATGAGATTCGAAAGTGTTGGGCCTTTGTTATAACACGATGAAATTTTCGAGCATTCAAGACCATAACTTTGGGAGAGTAAGGCCTTTTGTTAACAGCCGTCGTTGTAAAGGGCTCCGGGCCGGTGTGATATGCTTGTCATTTAGGTATATTGCAATTAATGTAACTTAATTCATCCTTGTAAAATGGTAGTTCAGTCAGTCTAGAAGTGAGAACATTAATGGGCTTACAATGAGAACATAATTTAAAGGTACCAACTGGCATATGATTCTATTCAAAGTTTCTATAATTTGAAACTACTACGCACGCCAAAAAGGGGAATTACAAGAAACACGATGGATGGAGCACTTTCGTTTCTTTATCAGCTTAAACACAAGGGAGCAAAGTTTACACAGTGCTGAAGCAAATATCCCGAAAAGCTTAGGCGGCGCGCGCGTATCACAATCCACCCTTTAATGATCCTTACACCTCATCCTTTTGTATAATATCCACTAAAGCTTACGTTTATGCAATTTGTCCCTTCACGTTTCCAACCTAATGTTTGAATTACTTTCCTTTCCTCGAAAGCTCTGAGTGCTCAAAAAATTTTGGGTGAACTACACAAGTCTTGGCACTTTTAGTAATTTACATATTCCTATATAACAAAGTCTTGTAGGTTACACCACCAAAAACTAAGGAACGGCTGGACCGATTTAAATGATCTCTAATTTTCTGGACTTTTGAAAAAACAATACGGAACAAAATTATGCAGAAAATTGATTTTCAAAAGAATGTCTCTAAAAATTATAGGTTCCTATGGAATTTCCAAATAACTAAAGTCAACGTGGATGAAGGCGCGAAGTCTCAAATTCCTTATCCGGTTGGTAAAAAGTGTCATTGAATTCGCCTACGACGGAGTTACTCGATACCTCGATACGTATTTTCTCGAAAATCATGACTGACTGATTTGTCAATTGTGTTACGTGACAATCGCTCTCTTTAAATAGTTTAAATATGATTCCTGAGGCCTGTGCTGTGTCTATTATTTATAATAATCATATAAATATAATAATATATAATAATAATAAAATAATTGCCCACGTTGTATGCATTTTGATTGGTCCAACATCGGGATAGGAAGATACGGTCGGTTTTTAAACGAAACTATAAATGCAGCTTGTCATCTTGAGATCAGTTGATTATTTTTTATTAGGTAAACAAAAAGATTTGATGCGTAATAAAAATGATTTCCAGATTTCTTTATTTGCCAAAACAAACTCGAACACTTACACTCAAACAGTTCGAACTCTTATTAAAATTTTAAATTTTATTTATTATGCGTGATAGATACAACTCAATGGTTTCGTATAAGTTGAATATAGTATAGGAAATTAAGATCAAAAAATGGCAAAACCCCTCAATATTTTCGTCCTGCATCGATTTGCATAAAAAATTGAAATTAGGTTCATCTTACTTTAATATAATCACTGTCGTGATCTTCGTCATCCTCATCTACTGGTACACTATTATTACAATCCTCACCAGAGAACCAAGAACAAGAGGAATTGCAATGTAATCCGACT